TTTATCATACTATCCTTTGTTTTTATTTCTCCTATCTGTCCTTCGCTGTCCCATTCTCTTCCTTCGCCTCCTGTTCTAGCGTTAAAGTCTCCTCCTATTATTAATATTTTCCCTCTATTTTTCTCTATTTCTTCGGTTAGGTACTCATAATTTTCTTTTTTCTTGTGCTGCATGTAGACTGATGCAACCGTGCATTTCTCTCTCTCTATCTCTATTTCCCCTACTATGACTTCTTCTGTCCTTTCTTCCTTCCATTTTACCTTTATTCTCCCTTGTCTTTCTCTTACTGCCATCAGTCCACCCCCTATCTCCCTACCCCTTTTTCCTTCCCTTCTCGAGTCCCTCCATTCAATGTTATACCCATTCAGATTTCTTCCTATTCCTATTTCTGCTTCTTCTCTTTTCATCCATATCTCCGTAAGTCCTACTATATCAAAATTTCTAATATATTTCCAGTCCTCTTCTTCCAAGCTCTTTATTCCAAGCCACATTCCAAAATAGCATTTTTACTGTTTTCCTTCCCTTCACCTCTTCTCTCTTCTCTCCTCTCCCCCCTTTATTTCCGAAACCCCTCCCTTCCTTTCTTTGTCATTCTCTCTTCCCTGCTCTTAGCCCGTTGTGCCATATTTTAACTTCCTTACCCTTATTTTTCAATTCCCTTGCTTTTCTTCTTACCTCCTCTCTTATTTTCCTTTGTTTCCACGTCCAGTCGTGATCTATATATATTTTTTTCTCCCCTAATTTACTTTTATTCTTCATTATTCCCTCCTTTTGCTCCCATGAGGCACACTTTATTTGCCACATCCTCTTCCTTCTATACTCTATCCCTTCCTGTCTCTGTTTTATTTCTGGTCCTCCTATGCTCCTTAGGCTTATTATTTCCCCCTTTATTCCCGTTCTGTCCTTTAACCATTCCTCGGCGTCTCCTTTCTTTTCCCATTTTAGTTCTCTCTCCAGATCTGTAACAATTATATTATTTGCCCTACTTTCTCTATCCATCCTCTCCTTCATGTGATCCATTTCTTCCCTATTATCTACTCCTTTTACTTCTACCCTTGTCTCTCTTTCTTCCATGTATTTTTTCATCTTATTCATCTCTTCTTCCCATCCTTTCATTTTTTCTTCCCACTTCTCTTGTCTTCTTTTTTCTTCTCTTTTCTCTTTTTTCCTTTCCTCTCTATCCTTCTCTTATTCTTCTCTAAGTTTTTCCATACCTCTCTCCCATTTTGCCTCTCTTTTTTTCTCCGCCTCTTCCATTCGTCTCATCATTTCATTTAGCAGTTCCTCTTTCTCTTTCTTCCCCTCTCTTCTCAGCTCTCTCATTTCTGCTAGTACTCTTTCAAATGCATTGTCTTCTCCTTTACTCTCCCCCACCCCTATCAATGTTCTGTCCATTTCATTCCCTTCGTCCCCCTCTGTTTCACTCCCCTCGCTTTCACTTTTGTACCTTTTCGCCTGTCTCACTTCTTCCTTGTTTCCCCCTCTCATGCCCTCTTCGCTCTCTCTACCTCTCACCCCCTTTGCCTTCCTCTTATCCCCTTTACCGTCCCTCTCTCTCGCTGTTCCTGGCATTGTAAACATCTCGTTCCTGTATCCTATTCCTATTCCCCGCCTTGCTCCAGCCTTAACTTTCTCTCTTATTCCCTTTATCTTCGCCTTTATGCCCCTCTCCTACGCTCCTCTTTTTCCGCCTTCTGTCTTATCTACCCTAACCTATCCTTTCTCCCTTTATTTCTTTTTTCACCTTTCTTCCTTCACCCTTTAACTCGTTCTCTTTTTCTCTTCTCCGAACGCCCTTCCACTCCTCCTGCACCTTTTCTCCACTTTTCTCTTTACTTCCTGCTCTCCTTCTCTCCAGAATTGGCCTATATTCAGCACTCACACAAGACACGTCTACTCTCATCCAAGTCACAATATAACCTCCTATATATATATATATATATATATATATATATATATTCTTCCAGGAAAATTGGCCGAACTTTTAAGCTCATGGTGAAACCTCAAAAATGGCAAACTTCAATTGATGATGTCTTGATGAAAAAAAATGATATCTTAAATTTGAAAAATGGGTTTTGAAGGGTAAGAGTGCTTCTTTAAGATGCCGTCAACCGTTTTTAAAAAGAATATAAACTCACGATGTAATCAAGCCTTGAATATGGCCAAAAAACGTGTTTTTTCGACCTTTAGGGGACGATTACTCAAAAACCTGACGTGATGAAGCAATTCTAATGACGGATTCTAATTCTACGCCAAAAATTACTTCGGAAATGACCGTAAGTTGTAAAAGAACAGTGACGACTCTCTATTTTGCAGGCCTGTGTAATAATAGAAAACTAAACCTAATACAACAATGGTGAACGTACACGCTCAAATCATTTAAACGCGACAAACAGGCAGAAAACTAGGAGCACATTCGCTCGACTATCATAGCGCGACAGATATGAAGACCATGGCGTTGCACCGTGCGAGAGCTGGTGCAGAAGAGAATTAGCGAGGAGATACTTATTGTAACTCATCCGGTGACTCCATCCGTGGCCCGCTGGTGGAAAACCGCCGTCGCCTGAAGCATAGCCCAGCTGGCAGTGGAGCTCGTGGAACAACCGAGGACGGTCTGCTGACCGCTGGCGCACGTCCCCGGCTCCTTAATTGCCGAATGGTGGTCGACGAAAAGGCTGCAGGAAGCAGCCGAGTACCCCACAGATGAAAAGACCAGTTCCTCACCCGTTACCAATTTCGCCACCCACAGGTGGAAAAACTTGACTTTCACTTGTAGTTAGACTCAACCGTCTGTCACAACCGGTCTGTCACAACTGAGACTCAACGGTCTGTCACAACTGAGTCACAACCGGTGAATACCGTCGGTCCAACAAGTAGTTCCTTCGCTCTTCCTCGCGCCGTTTTCTCCGCCGACCATACCCTCCCCTCTCCAGGCCCTACAACGACACGAGCGCGTGAATACTGTGTTGCCATAGCAACGCTCGGCCATCGCATCCATGTGAAGAGAGTACCGTGCACAGGGCTAGCAAATATCGCTATGAGCCCTGTCACAAATTATATATCACTGAGCCAATCTAAGCCAATATAACTACCGTAGTATCGTAGCGTCGACTATAGTACCTCTGAGTTATCTCTCTGACTCTCTCGCTCTCTCGTTCTCTTTCTTTCTATCTCTCTTTCAATGATTTAATCTAAGCATAAAGGAGCCTTCTTTACCTGTGTAAAGTTATATCAAAAAGGGATGCTTTTTCGAAAAATTACTAAATTCACGTCACAACAAGCCAAGGCGTGTGCCAATTGTCGCCGCCATCCATTCATCAAAACCGAATCCCGATTCACGTTATCAGCAATCGAGCATTTTGCCCATTAGTTCAGTTCATAAACAAAGATGTAATTTAGCATGTCGGAGGTCACCGCAACAACTATCACTTGCCTAGCGATGAAAAACACACTGTCTATTGACTGGCGATTCCCACCTGACTCAAATAATCACCTGATGGAGGCATCAATGCAATCTGCACACTGATTTCTGGGCTACTTATGCTTGAATTGTTAAAAGAGTTTGGATTATTAATGCCATAAAGCTTGTAAGCGATCTTATAACGAAAAGTTTTCTAAGAATATTCACTCCTTTCATTGGACGAAGAGGCCGGACTTCAATAATGTCATCAATTTCTGCGGTGCCAATTTCGAGCTTCAATATCTACTTGTACGTTCGACCGATCATTAAGCTTGCTTGACTACCACTCTGACAGCCTCCTTGAACCACAGGTTCTTTGATTCAACAAACATGCGTTCCTCACCTTTCGAGTTCCTTTTTTATTCTTTCAAAGAACAAGACGCACAGGATATTGATTTAAATTCGTAAATGTCAAAAAAAAAACTCCAACTTCCTCTACACGATACGACACTTACCAGCAGTAAGCAGTACCGCTCACATTTTCTACACGTTCAGTCTCGCTCAAACTGTTAAGTACTAAAAGTATTTCAACATTGCATTAAGTGAATTACAGTTCCGATTGTTATTAACACCAATCTTTTTATTTGTTAATTCAATTTTTATATTGAGTTTTGTTAAGTTGATAACAACCTATGATAAAGATTAACCCTCAACATTATTAAAAATACTTTATTATCCATTTATATTGTGATGGAGAATCGCCGCTTGGCCGTTATTCTGCCAATGGGCTCTCGCCGAGGTTCTCGCGCCGTCTCAAACTGTAAGCAGAATCAATAATAACAATATCAGGAATAACAATAATAACAACAGTAACAGGTGCAACAGTAACAACAACGAGGACACTGACGACAGTAGCGACTGAGAAAACGATATCAACTACAGTGACAGGAACAACATTAGAGCAGAAGATCGACGGACGAGGTCGGTCCAGTGTTTTTCTCTCTCATCTCTCTCTCTCTCTTGCTCTTTTTTGCATGTTACGGGCGTCAGCATCTCGCAGAGATCTCCCAGCTACACTGTCGGCCGCGATCATCGAGTGAATTTTGTACGAGTGTAATCTTCTTTTGTTGTATTAGTTGCATAGGCAGAATATGGCAAATCGGATGACAGCCCTGCTATTGATTCACTTTCGTGAGCACAAGAATTGTTATCGATCATAGAGGAGCTGGCGTCAGGATCGCAATTTTATATTGTTAGGCATTGTTATTGTTTTGAGTAAAAGTCTTTATGTTAAGTCGCTGTCACCGATGCTTGTCGCCTTGCTCACTCCTCATCCCGAATTTATCACCGCGCGATTCAAGCGTTTCGCTTAACGCGTGATTCAGTTGTGGGAGCATCCGTACCTCTCAAATCCCCCCTTTAAATAATGTGTGCTAGTGACTGCGAACTACACCTCAACGCGAACGGTCGTATCTCCATTACTATATATATATATATATATATATATATATATGTGTATGTGTAGAAAATTATTGTTATTCAATAATATAAGTTACGTTTTATTTTACTAAAAAATATATGATAATATAAATATTTACAGCTCGTGGGAAAACTATTATCACAACTTTACATCAACCATCATCAGAATTGTTTAGTATGTTTAATAAAATTCTACTCATGGCTGAAGGACGTGTAGCCTTTACAGGTACTACCGAAGAAGCGTGTGAGTTTTTTAAAACGTAAGTATATAAAAAACGCTATCAACTACATTGATGATTTCTTAAAGAGCGTAAAAATTAGTTTAGTAAATGAATATATAAGCTGAATATATTTAAAAGCTTGTTATTGTTGACTACGGGTTCATACATCTCTTAAAATATAATGTATATTTCTCATACATAAAATATGATAAAAAAATATTTTTTGAATAATTTTTATACATCAAAGACATTTTTGCCATTAACTTCCATATTTACATACGTAAAATATTACACATGTAATCTTCACATTAACATGAATTGTAGAGAATAATGGCGGTATCTTGTGAGTTGTAAGGTTTGACGTGCGCATGTGCTATGTAAGCGTGCACCGCTCCACGGGTACCCTCAGCTTTGTTATTTTAAAAGGGTTATACATTCAAAAATTATTGCAGACCTTGATTCTATATTGTTTTTTTCTAAAAACGTATTCAGGAAAATCACAGATAGTGATTTTTTTTTAAAGATATTTTGAATAAATTTTGTTTTCACATTTATAATACTTTAACTTGATAGAATTATAATTTCTTTAGCTGTTCTATATCTATATATATTATTAAGATACTAATAAAAGTCAAACATTCATATTCAATGGATATAAAAATATATTAGTATGAAATAAATCAAAACACGGTACCTTACAGTATTGCTTTGTTATAGGATGCTTTGTTTTGACGAACGACTTTTTTGACTAAAAATCACTTTAGAGGTTTGTTTAAGATTTTGTGACGAGGACAAATAAGTTACTTGCTCTTCGTCTACTGTTTCTCAATTTCCTCCTGCTCCCAGCAAGACATGGTGGTCAGCGTTGTACGCAAAGAAAAAATGCGCTTAACTAGTGGTCTTTGTTTCAGCCATAGATGATTGCTGAATGAGGCTAAGTAAGCCCAAAGAAGAGCGCCTCAAAAAAGTAGTAACGAAGGAGAAAACGAGATAAAGAGAGTGAAAGAGAAAAAGAGAGAGAGAGAGAAAGAGTAGGGACACCTCTATTATGCAGGTATAGACGGGCGTGCGTTGCACGATCGATAAGCATTGCGTCGCATGCCGCCTAAAAAAAGAAGTAGGTCAAGGGTGGATGAGAAAGAGCACGCCGCTGACCGCAAATAGGCCGTGGCTGGCAGTTATTAAATAGTTCTCTTACGGGTTCCTTGACGTGAGAAGGTAGAGTAAACAAGAAGTAGCAGCATTTAGTGGTTTGACGCGATAAGGTCTACCAGCTTGTGTGAAGAAAGACCCTTCATCGAGAGAAACACTCAGAAGAAGATACGGACGGCACATTTACGTTGACCTCACATAGACGTTCAGTCATCACGAGGACGGCGGCAACTCTTCGCGTTTCTGGCTAGCAGCGAGATCTGTATCACCCGGCAAGCCAGGGATGCAAAGGTCAGGTTAGCTCAGTCTCTTCTTCGTTATTCTTTGACGGGGCCCTGGCTAGAATAGCCGGCCCTGTCTAGCTCACTCTCTCTCTTTATCTCTCTCGCAGCCTCGCTTCTTCGCTGTTACCCTGGCGAGCGTTTGAAAATTACGAATCGATATCGATGCTCGCCCCGCTTTATTTCAGGACCAATACCTAAGCCGGGTATCGTCATTAGAAGCCAACTGACAGCGAGAACGGCTGCAGCAAGAAGAAGAGAGAGAGAGTGACGTGTCGCGAGTAGAGAGTAAGCAAGCGCAAGTGACTCGCGGCGATCCGCTCGTGAAAGCGAAGCCGCCGGCGTTGCTTGAGCTGACGCGTGACGATTAGGGGAGAGAGTTCGAGCCGAGATTCTGAGTTAGACGGATCGTTTTGACTGCCGAGCGTGCGCATGTGAGAGAACGCAAATCAGACAAAGAAAGCAGAGGACGACGAGCAGATCAAAGCACGGAGAGGACTTCCAACGACCCTCGCATCGTAGAATCCATCTGAGCCTACCACGAGCCTACCAGCAGTCCCACAGTTTTTCTGCCTGCAGCGAAATTACCAGCATTTCCTGCCAGCAACTCCAGCAGCAGTTCCTGCCAGCAGCACTAGCAGCGATTCCTACCAGCAGCCTTCACCAGATCAGGTCGTCTCTCTCTCTTTCTCTCTCTTTCTCTCTCTATTCATGACGCGTCGTCGAAGTGCTCGCGATCTTCCGCGAGCATGGCGAATTTCACGATCAGAACGAGTTCCTCCTTTGTAACCCTCTCAAATTATTGTACCGTGCCCCCGTGTGATTGTCCGCATGAGCGCAGGCCGTTGAGGACGACGCGTGAGCTCGGGAGTGATTATTGTGTATGCCCGTCATTCCTTTCCTCTCAAACCAAAGCCCAAAACGCCAATTTAGTGACGAGGCCCATCGTCACTGTTCAGAGGAGCGAACAAGCTTCCCTTACCTACCCCTTTAAAAATATTTTGTGATACGGCACTTGGACACGAGCTCTTGCATGGCTCGTGGGAATGACCATTCCTCAAAACGCGTTAGATTTTAATCATTAGTGTTACATGGCATCCCTTGTGGGGAAAGCTGAAAAATTGGGAATTTTTTGGTTGAGAGGAACGGAGTGCGGATTGAAACGCACTTGTTAAATTTTAAAATCGAGGAATTTGAGGGGACAAAGGCTGGGTAGAAAGCGCGCGTCGAAGTCGCGCGAAGGTCGAACAGAGTGAGTTGGTGCTTGTTGTTGTGAGCCGCGAGCGTTCGAATAGTGCTGATTAGTAACCCGAGCGATCTGTTTATATTCACGCAGGCCGGCTACGCCTTCGAAACGAGGCAAGCTAAGAGCCGCGCGGGCCGTCGAAATACCGAGTTTGAATGTGAACGATTGTTGTCTTATATTTTACTTTGATAGCAAAAATCACTGTTTACTGTCGTCGCTGCGCTTGGGCCTGAAGGATGTGCTTTCAGACTAGTGTTCCGAAGGTCACCAATTGTCGTTAATTGTTTTGATTGTAAGGTACAAAGCCGAGTCGAATATTATTGTTGCTAAACGGATTATCGCTGAACAGTTGACACGTCTTTGCCCGAGAGCCCGGCTAATGTGCATGTTATGAAATTTTACTTTGTCGTGTTTGTTGCGAGAAAGAGGAAACTATAGGACGCAGGTAAACCACTTTGTGTAAATCCGCCGAGTGTACCTAGTGCGAGAAGGAATTGCGTTAATCCGCAACCTTCTAGAATAGAGTCGTACATAGCCCGACAAGAGGTGCGTAAAACCGCACCTGAGTAATTGTAGAAAGCGTTTGTTGTGTAGGTTCAGCGTATCTGTACGCGGTTTTGGTCGCGTTATTGCAGATGTAGGTCACGGATCTTGCCGGTGACTCGCGTCAAAGACGGATAATTTGGGCTGAGATGTGTCGTAGATCGGTGACGTCACGATGCCGCCCCCGCGACTGCTAAATCCCGTAATGCGCGAGATCTTGAGGGATCGAGGCGTACGAGCGCTGAAGCGGCGTATCACCGCGACTCCACCGACTGAGCTCATGGCTCTGTTACAGAGGAGCTAGTTAAGCGTGAGTGGCACGTACGAGGACCTGCAGAATCACATGTTGCGGTATATGATCGCGCGCGAGAGACCTGAGTTGAATCCGCCGTTAGCTCCGGAAGACTTGGCGTTGTGCTTCGTCCCAGGGCCGCCCGAAAGTATCCTCCATGAGGAATCGCAGGAATTCGCGATGACCGGAATGGTGGATAGCGAGGGGGCAGAAAACGGACAAACGGTAAGCCCGGTTGAGCCCGCGAGAAGTCATGGCCGACCGCGCGCGGCGTCGCGACGCGTAGAACCGCGTCGCGCAGCAGGGCGCAGCCGAGGGGCCAGACTTAGTTCGGGTGACCGACGGACAGGAAGCAATGAGTTGACACCCGCGGACGGAATGTTGGCGACGAGCACCGAAGAGGAGCCGGGTCAAAATCCCGGTGCCCGGTATTATGGACAAGAGGATGAGCTTGACATCCTAGGTCAGGTGTGGGGCGCGTTTGCGCAGTTGCCGCGTTTAGTGATGCATCGAGATGTCCGAGAAGCCCTGTCCGGTAGCGCTAACAACATTTATCGAGTAGAGCAGGCCGCGATAGGAGTGCAGGCCGAGAGGCAAGCGCAAAGGGACTCCGCCGTACCGATGGCTGCTCGAGCCTCGGAAATGCGACTGCCTGGTAAGGAGTCGTCCCCCTCTACTGTTAGCGAAGCGAAGTCGGAGGGAGAAGATAAGCAGGATTTTTTCTCGGATAAAGAAGTGAGTGAGGCCACGAGCAAAGTCCCAATTAACGCCGGACAAGAGTCGAGCGCGCCGATTGCGGCGGGAGAGCCGGCGAACCCGGCTAGAAGCTTGAAGGAGGTTTTCCGGGAAATTTTGTTCGAGTTAGGCGGAGAAAGGCGAACGGTCCGAATTAAGGATGAAGGGATCGAGGGCGGATCAGATGACTACCGCGAAGAGCGCGCGCGGCATAGGACACGAGCCAGAGCTGAGATGGAAGAAAGTACCGACTCGTCGGGCTCAGATGCGAATGACGTGCGTGCGCCCGAGAGGCATAGGAAACTATGATCGCTATTTTTGTCGATAACGATCACAGAGATTGGGATAGATATCTTCATGAGTTTAGGCGCGCTATAAATACCACGACTCAGTCCTCTACGAAAGTTTCTCCGGTATTTCTGAACTCCGGACGTAATCCGCGGCCCGCAAAAAGCCTAAGGCGTGAGGTAGAGTGGAAAGTACCCATGATCAGATTGAGTCCCGAAATTGGGCAAGATCGCTTGCAGCGGTTAAATGTACTGCGCGATTTAGTGAGTAATCATATTGAGAGCGCTCAATAACGACAGAAGTATGCGTACGATAAGAAACGCTGGTATGCTGCGTTTAGTGAAGGGGATTTGGTTTGGCGCAAGCTTCATCTGTTGTCGAGTGCGGCGGTGGGCCGAAACACCAGCCTAGAGCATAAATACCGCGAAATGGTCCGTATAAGATAGTCAAAAAGATTTCGGACGTCGTATATGAGTTGGAAGTAAAGGACAAGCGACAGGTC